ATATTTTGCATGTGAAAAACACATTAACTTTTGGGGGGGCAAAATGAGAATGTTTGTGTCCCCCACCAAATTCATATGTTGAAACCAAATTCATATGTTGAAATCCTAACCCCCAAGGTGATGGTATTAGGAGGTGGGGACTTTGAGAGGGGAGATCATGAGGGTGGAAACCTGTGAATGGGATTAGTGTCCTTATGAAAGAGGCCTGAGAGCTCTCTCATTTCTCTTCTGTCTTGTGAGACTACAAGAAGACAGCAGTCTGGAACAGGGAAGACAGCCCTCACAGGAATCAGATCATGGTGGCACTGTGATCTCAGACTTCTGGCCTCCAGAACTGTGAGAAATAAAGTCCTGTTGTTTATATGCTGGTAATTCATCATAGCAACCTGAACATACTAAGACAGGAGACGTCTAGGTGGTGATGGCCAGGGAGCAGAGATAATGCAGAGTGTGAGAGAGGGCTGCCTGGAGAGACATGGGTCCCTGTGAACGAGCTCAGAAAGAGGTGCTTGGCTTGGAGAAAGAGAGATCCAATGCTTGTCTCAAAAATTCTGAAGTCTTTTTTTAAATTGTGGGGTATAATTCAGGGCTAGGTATACAAATATTCATTGTGCAGGTACCCTTGTTGATGAGGTGTGTGCCCCCCTTCCCCAGGCAGATTTCGACTACTGTCAATTCCATCTCCCCGCCCACCCCCCAACCCCCCGCAGTTTACCACTACTGTCAATCCTTTTCTTATAGTATTACGGTACTTGTTCAAGGTCCACTTATGAGTGAGATCATATGATACTCAGTTCTTTGTTTCTGTGAAAGATTACTCAGTATTATAGACTCTAATTCCATCCAGGTTGCTGTGAAGTTCATGATTTTGTTCTTTTTTTTGAGTTGGAGTCTCACTCTGTCGCCCAGACTGGAGTAAAGTGTCACGCTCCCGGCCACCGCAGCCTCGACCTGCTGGGCTTCGGCGATCCTTCCGCCTCAGCCTTCCAAATAGCTGGAACTACAGGTGCGCGCTACCACACCCGGCTAATTTTTTATTTATTGTAGAGATGAGGTCTTGCCAAGCTGCCCAGGTGGGTCTCGAACCCGCGGACTCAGGCAATTCACTCACCTCGGCCTCCCAAAGCATGGGATTACAGGCTGAGCCACAGAGCCCGGCTGATTTTGTTCTTCTTTATGGCTGCATAATATTCCATTGTGTATATGTACCATTTTTTTTTAATCCGGTCCTCTTTTGATGGGCAGCACGGTTGGTTCCATGTTCTTGCTACTGCGAACAATGCTGCGATAAACATACATGTGCAGGTATCTTTTTTTTTTTTGAGTTGGAGTCTCACTCTGTTGCCCAGACTGGAGTGCAGTGGCCGCTCCCAGCCACGGCAACTTCGCCTGCTGGGCTCCGGCGATCCTTCCACCTCAGCCATTCAAGTAGCTGGAATTACAGGCATGTGCTACCACGCCCAGCTGATTTTTTGATTTATTGTAGAGATGAGGTCTCGCTGCCCAGGCGGGTCTCGAACCCGCGGGCTCAGGCAATCCACTCACCTCAGCCTCCCAAAGGCGCGGGATTACAGGCTGAGCCACCGAGCCCGACTGGATATCTTTTTTATAGAGTGATTTGTGTTCTTCAGGGTATATTCCCAGTAGAGGGATTGCAGGGTTATATGGAAGGTCAATTTTTAGAGCTTTTAGAAATCGCCACACTGCTTTCCACAGAGGTTACACTAGTTTACACACCCACCAACAGTTTAGAAGTGTTCCCTTTTCACCACACCCTCTCCAACAGCTGTTATTTTTTGAGTTGTTGATAATTGCCATTCTGACTGGAGTTAGGTGGTATCCCAGTGTGGTTTTGATTTGCATCTCCCTGATGATTAGTGAGG